GGGGGCCATCAAAGAATCAAAGATTCAGCTTTAGCATACCTGCTTGTTGCACATGAAACCCTGCAGACTACTGGGGCTCTCATGGCAGTAATGAAGCTGTGTGTTGGCAGGTAGTCATGACTCAACACCAGGAATGTCCCCCGTATTCCCAAAAAACCCGAACAAAACCAGACAGGTTCACACCTTCACCTATTACTAGATACAAACCCCTAATGCAGGGAAGAGCCTTACCAAGACACTCCATCAATATCTTTTCTGATTTACTATTAAAAATTTTAAGTGCACCCCCTCACTAGACTAGCGATACAAGCAATGAACCAGTATCAACAGCCGAGTTATTTCTTCAGGGCTTCGTGTTATTCCCTTCTTCAGGCAAAAAATATTTATTCACATACTGAGCTTCCAGTTCCCAACAGACATTCCCAGGCCTTCTTTGGAAAGCCCTTCCCTCCACTGACGATAGGATTAGTTCCTCCTAAGGATTATCAGCCACATCCCACGTATCAAGCCAATGCCTGAGGACACGTATCCTGCATTCACACCAGCCAAGGGAGGTACCCATGAGTGGATGAGATCCAACGAGAAGCTGGGGATGAGACAGGATGGATTCCTCCCCTTACTCCACACTGCAGACCTGTCTCTTGCTCTGCCAGTTGGGGGGTGGGGGGGGAGAAAAAAAAGCCTAATTCTAAGCAGCCCAAAGAGTGCCAAAATGATAAGCACCTCTCCAGGAGAGGCCCAAGAGATACCCTTCCAGTAAGTGTCCTAACGCAACAGGAATGGTCTCTGGGCTAATCTCTGGCTCGGAGCAGATCAAGGCTCTGACTCAACACCCCACCCTTACGAGCAAGTCTAATTAACCACAAACCCTCCAGCAGCAGGGTGTAGAAGCTGGGTGCCTGGAGGCAGTGTTTCTGGTGGCTGACACCTCCAGCACTGCTGCAGAGAAGCTGGCAGCGTGGGGTGATGTGTGTGTCCACCAGCAGCCACGCGTGGAAGGGGAATAAAAAGTCCTTTTCAGGAGGAGTTACCCTCCAAGACGGCAAGCGCGCCTGCAGCAGCCACAAGAACGTGCCAAGTAGGAACCTGCAGCCTGCTTTACACTGAAAATGTTGTTCTTCGTTGCTTTCAGTATCTATTATTTGTGTCACTGTTACCTCCAAGACCTGCAAGAGAGATCGGATCTCCATCGCACTAGCGCTGCAGTAATAAAAGTCTCCATCTGAAGAGCTCGTACCCAAGTGAAAGGGATGAGAAAAGGGACAATGCAGGAAATGAGTAAACACAGCAACAGTGAGACGGCCGTGAGCTGCAAACCCAGACAGCAACGGCCAAGCAAGCATTTTCTTTTCCATACAGAGATTTTCTATACATACAGAAATGATGTCTAAGACAATCTAAAAAAGGACAATGTGATGATTTTGTAAGTATATAGAAAATGTCTTTAATATGTAGGGACAAAGTCAGGTGGGACACAGTCCTTCCATCTGCAGATTCCCAGGTTGAAAATACAGTCATGCCACATAAACATCCTGATTTAAACAGATAAGGAAGAAAATATTCTTCCTATCACTGTTAAATTTGATCATTTATCTCCATTATCAGCCTGCTGTTTACAGATTAGCTCCCAAATAACAGCCAATTCATCAGTGCAGGAGCACGCTATTTCTGAAGCGAATCGGAACACACTGTCACTGCGCTTGTTTATTATTCTCCAAGCGCTTTTTGGGTTAAAGCATGAAAAGGGGGGGGGCCCACACGACAAACGGACATCACTGTTCAAAACCAGACACTGCGTAATGCTTGTGATTCAATCATGATCTGTAGCAGCCCCTGTCATCCTGGCTCTCCAGCCTCCCATCACTTCTCCAGCACGACTCTGTTTTCATCTGAAGCACCATCTAGTATTTCAGTCATGAGCAAAACCTGTTCATTGTACCAAATTACACAGCAGAGTTCTGGGGTCAGCTAATCTGCTAATTCAAGACTTAAATTCCAAACACACATCTGAAAGCCAGTGACAAGCAAGGAGACAATTTATTACAATCACTCGTAATAACCCCTTTGCGGTCCGGTGTTAATAAAAAATTTCACAGTATTTCAGATTATCATTCAGTATTAGGTAAAACTCTGACAAAGTCTTGCCAGCAATAGAAGAAAACACTCGAAGTACAATTTTACAGCCACTTCTAGTTATGCTTTTTATCTGTATCAACTACATTGAATATTGATCTATGAAACTCAAGCACTTTCATTGCAGTGAAGCTCCGTTTCTCCCCAAATGCGGCATTAGGACAGAAAAGCGGGAGCACTGCAGCTCGGTAGCAGGAGTTTGAGCCACGTAGGGACCACCCTTCTCTTAGTACTACACCACAACTTCAAAATCCTCCATTTTAATACGTCGATGTGTCCCACAGGATCAAAAGTAATCACAGCCAGGCTGAACAGTACGATCAAGCCTTTAGTCTGTGGCCTACATTTCTGCATTAAATAATAAATACCTGACACTCTGCATAGTTTCCAGTGCATCTCACTGAAATCATTAGTTCCCTTTCCAAGGGGTAACACTCAGGCAGATATTAATAGCCACATCTTTAGAAGCCTTTGCTAATTGTGCTGCTCAGTTTGAGGTACTTTTGCTAGCTAGAGGGAAAGGATTAGTTAGGATTTTTAAGCTTCACAAAATGCTAATGCATATTACAAAGGTACCCCGAGGAACTCTGTTCTAAAAGGTATTTAAATCTATCGTTTATTAACCCCAAAATAACCTAGGAGGGAGCGAGCTACACAGACCAACAGGTCAGCAATTCCCACGTGAAGTCCCACAGAAAGATGCTTCTGCAGGAGGCCAGTCCCATGCCAGACACGCAGTTTGAGCATCACTCTCCAGCACAGCTTAAGGGATCAACCTTCCCTACCCAAAGCTCATGAATGTGAAGTATCTGGACCCAGTCACTTCTGCTGCTGGCACTTACCAGCCGGTCAGCCCCAGGCTCCAGCTTAACTTCAGCACTAATGGGACGGGACGCATCATCTACTGCAGGATCAGGGGGTGATGCTTCACCAAGAACTATCAGCCCCTGGAAGAGAGGGAAGGGAACAGGAATTAACTGCGGGTCCTTCGGTCTCAGCAGGGAAACTGTGCATTCATCGTCCCCCAGAAACTACAACCGCTGCACAGCAAGGCTTGCATTCTCACCGCATTTTTCAGACATGATGCCAAACCGAATCCCCTGCTGCCTGGATTTTCCTGACATCTAAGCTGAACTCGGAGGGGGAAGGACAGTGGCTGGAGCCAGATCACATGCCTTCAGCCCATTAATAGTAGACAGTTAGCTCCCTCTCGGGCAAAACTGCTGAAACGCCGCTGCCGTCCTGCTTCCCACCCCTTCCCCTCCTGCCGCATGCGAGGAGGTTCAGCGAGCTGCATGCCAGCAAAACCAAAGAGAACATTTTGCTGTAGTGCAGAGCAGGAAACGACTGCTTTCATAGTACAAAGTGGAACTCGCCACCACAGCCAAGCAAACAATTTTGAGCGGGTGCCAAAAATCTACAGTCAAACTTGTTACTCTGAGCAGATTTTTTCAAAGAAGTGATATTCACAAAATTCAATAAGGAAAGAAAACACTGATAAACAAGCCATTGCTATAAACCTAGCGGGACAAAGCACAGTGGCAGAGCACTGTTTTATCAGGCTTAACATATGTTGTCCTGTTTATGTTTTACTCTAAGTGAAGCTTACTCTAAAGGCAGAACTGCTTTCTCTCTGAACACCACAAAGTAAAATAAAATCGTTATAATTACGCATATTCTGAGCTATATTATATCAAAACAGGCTAAAGTGCGCAAGGGATTAAAGAGTTGGTAGAACCTACAGGCCATGACTATAGTGCAGGACAAAGACAAGCCAAAACAAGTTTGTGACCGGTCAAACAAGGAGCTATGGAAAGGGCTGCTCAGATTAAGAGCAGGCGGATCAAGTCATCTGAAAACAATTTCAGAGCTTGCATGGCGTCACAAGAAAGTGAGCCTGGAAGGGAACCCCGACACGTTTTCTGGAGAGAGGAGAGCGCTACAAGGCTTCCCTCAAAGTCCACGAAGTCAAATCTTCCATGTAACTGTGCATCAACAACTGATGCCATGGCATGTGGCCACTGAAGTCTCTTGTAAGGCTGATCTTATGCCTTGACACAATCTTCTATACAACAGATTGGTGGCTTTCCAGAAAGATAGTGGTAGCCCCTAGTTCGGGAATACTTTATTTAAAAACAGTTCATAAAACTGTACATGGCCTCTGACCAGCAATGAGGAAGCTGCCAGCTTCTAGAATAAACATGATGATGATTTTCTAGAGTTTTCTGACATCCCAGAAGGACGTTTAGTGGATGAGAGAGGCTGGAAGTCTAAACCCAATTAAATACTGCTGCGCTTCTCCTCCACTCTTAAAAGATCCCTCTCCAAAAGCAACACATCACATTTCGCCATTGCTTCTAGAAACATCCTCAGGCACGCTTCAACAAAGAGGTCGGTCACCTGCAGATGTCAGGTGTAGGAGACAGTGGACATGATAAAGGGAGAAACTGGGACTGAATTGCAAAATTGGAGCCAAGGAAACTGCTTCCCTTTGACACTCGGGAAAGCACTTGGGCTTCTCATTTGCTGAGCGAGAGAATGAGATGGGGAAGCACGGGCATCAGGAACAGAAACAGCCACCACGGCCTTCTGCCTGCAGTTTAAAGGAAGAGGATGAAGGGAGCTGCTCCATGCCTCAGGAAGGAGCAGTAATTAATTCTATAAACTGTGGGTATTTGTTTGGAAGTATGTCCCTTTACTGGTGACTTTGAAGCATAGGCAATGCTTAAGGCAGCCTTCCCTGTGACCGTCACAGCTTTGGTTTTCGTGCCCTCGTACAGAAGCTGCATTGCTCAAACCTACCATGCACGCCAGTCGTCCTCTCCCAGCTCCTAGCCCACAAGACAGCCTCTACGGACCTACAGGCCTGCAGGTTGGACGGCATCTTCCTACTGAGGGCTCATGCACTCTGCTTTGCTTTTAAGAGTTTTAAAGCTCCATTATTTATACACTTCTGAATAATAGAGAGGAATTAGAAGGGCAACATCAAATTTCCAACTCTCAGGAAAGGGAAAGGAGCAGCGCATGTGAACTATTCCAAGGTCACACAATACTTGCTTTTCAGCAGCATTCTCCAAAACAAAGAAAAAAGGAAGCCCTCTCCCCCCACCCCCAGTATTTATGGGCAAGTTTGCTGCTGCTTTACTCCCATTTTTATCACTAATTATGGTATTAACGAGAAGTCAATTGTACAGGTCTCGGATAGAGACAGATAGAGAGAGAGATCTCATATCTCACAGTCCTGTAATAGTCAGCAGCTTCTGCCAAGGGACTACTGGGCAAGGAAGAGGACTGACACATCAAGACACATCAGAAAGAGACTGAGTGTCCTAAACAGCCCTGCGCAGGGCCAGCAGCATCTCTTAGCATGCCCTAAGCCCAACATACCACTGCAGACACAGGAAACTCACATGAGAGCTGCAAATTCCTCCAGCAAGAGGCTCCTCCTAACTCCCATCCCACCCTTCCCATCACGCGTTTCTTTTGACTCAGCAGCTCCGGCCAGAGCACAGCCCTCCCCACGGGGCAGGCTGCACACAGGTCAGACCAAAAGCTCGAAGGGAACGCAGCAAACCCGTCTTGGATGGTCTGGGAACAAGTCGAACCTGGGTCTGCAGAGACGATGTGCAAATCAACCCCATCTTTAAGGAGTTTCGGTCACTGTACTTCAACCAAGTCTGCCACTGCACAAAATTCCTGCAGGTGCCCTTCATCTTAATTTACCTCTTATTCCATCTAAGAGTGAAACTCATAAGAGACACAGAAAGAGAGGAAAAAATGCCGCTTGTTCCTTTCCAAACACGAAGCATCTGCCACTCACACATGCAGGGAGGTGCAAAGGCTCTGCATGGGAGGGGGACCAGCACCGTGTACACCCCACCCCAAAAAGGCCCAACAAAGCACATTTGTGAAAAGAAACAAAACCACCTTATTACCTTCATCGACATCCAGCCCCTTAAATTAGCTGTACACACTCTTCAAAACCAACACAGAATCGAAGGCACAACAGCCCACTATTTTTAAGTGCCAGAAAACACAGTACTTCACAACTAACTTTGAACACATGCTCACTGATTTGTTGTTTTCCACCTCATCTCACCAGGCTCTGACCGAGCCGATCCAAATATGCTGAAAACACAATTACTGCTGAGACACCCAGGCAGCAGTGTACCTTCAAAACAGAAGGTTATTTTTGACTGCCTGGTCCCTCTCTTGCTTTGATTTGACAAAGCAATGCATCTTTGAGAGGTACGCTGGGATGTAAACCTTAGCATATAAAGGTAATTAACCTAAAAAAAGAATAAAATAAGAATAGCAACCTTGAATTCCTGCAGCAGCTACATTTTAACCTCCTTATGGCCAAATAAGCTAAAGTTGTTATGTTGATAGAAAAAACAAGGCGTCTCCAAATTCTTTAATTGTCCTTGTACAATTTGAAGCCAAATCCTTTCCAACAAGACTCTTGTATTACTGAAACATGCACTCGTTTCTCTAGTCTCCTACACTTGTCCCAAGCTGCTTTTATGAATCTTACTCTGAGTTTTTCATTGATGAAAACAGAACACGTTTTACAAGGCATCCTTGAGCTAAATGACACTGAGACAACGACAGCTGGGTACAAGCGGTGATCTCCATGAAGTCCTGTCAGAAAGATGGGGTATTTGATACTCACTTTCTTGATCAGGCAGAACAGCCACTACCAAATCCTCAACATCTGAACTCTTCTGCCACTGTAAGTGGCATGCTTTATCTTAAATTCATGTATCGGGTTATTGCAGTTGAGGAGTTTTTGTTTGAACAAATCAAAAAAGATGACATCCTGTTTTCCGAAACCTCAGATGTACTTTCAACTTCGACACAATACCGTGATGTTCTCCTTTCAGACCTAGAGACTGCAACCTTAGATAAAAACATATGGGATGCCTGTAGCCATTTATCAGGCCATTTCACGAGTCTGTCAAGTTGTCGTCATCTGGTGAAAGCACTGAATCTTCCACTTCGTTAGATGAGTTTTCTCATTTCTTCCGTTACTTAACTTTTAGCATATAAATGGTTTAGCTATTTTGTATTTTATATTTAGAAACTCTCTTGCATGATCGGCTTTCTTAAGACAGAAGGAAGACGATTCTTTCTGAAACTGGTTCATTAATTTGACATACAATCCGCTTCCCAGAAGCCTTTTGCTCTAATCTCGGTAATGTATTCCGTTCAGCAAGCCATGCTCTTCCACCTAGTCATTTATAGCCCTCACTCACTCAATTAGCCTGTTTTTCTACATAGCTGCATAAAAGTCCCATCGCCCTCCCCTGCCTGTGCTTTCTGCCCTCCTGGAAGCCTCTCTCCCTGCCACCCCCAGAGCACCACACATCTTGGGAAGAGCCTTTGCTGGACTCTGAATTCCTGAGGATCTGTAAGTTGATGCAATACCATGAGCCTTCTTGCCACAAACTCCAGACATTCCTCCCTCTAAGGCCTGACATTTAGACATGCATGCCTGAACAAGTCTCGATAACAATTCCTTCCCCATCCCTTCTCTGCTCTCCCCCATTCTCCTGCCATCTGGGAGCAAGTCTGAAAAAATAATTCCTTCCACAGAGAAAGGTCAGCACCTAGAAACAGTCTTTTTTTATGATACAGACTCAATTTTAAGCCTGTGCTATGTGATAGCATCTGAAGCTAACTTCCTCCACAGTCCACTCCCTTCCCCAGTAAGTCTCTTGTTAAGTTGTTCCTTATCCCCATCTTCAGCTACTCCCAAAAAGAAAGAATGGGAAGGGTTTTTTTTTAAAAAAAAAAAAAAAGAGAAAGACTCGAACAATGGGGAACAGCAACAGGCATACAAAAGCAACAGTTTTGTTCAGTACCCAAAGACTGACTTTAAAGTAAGGTATTGCTCTCTTCATGTTACCATATTGAAACAGGGAAAAGAATTACACTCAGCCCATGCCAAATAGCATTACAATTAGTCACAACTGTGCAATATGCTTTTTGAGAGATGCAGAGGGGAAAAAAAGCATCAGACTTTGCATACGTGCTCTCCACTGCAGCAGAAAAGACAGCCATTAGGCGGCAAAGCAAAATCACACGTATCCAAACGCACTCCTGGTCCTCACCTTATTGGCTCTAATCTGCTTGTAAATGTCCGTTTGCTGCCGGATTCGGTATTCCAGGTCCGAGACGTGGGCTTGGAGCCAATTCCAGCGACTGACGATGGCTGCACGGTCTGCTGCCCATCTCCACTCTGCCCTTCGCCTCCTGGAAAAACAGAGAGGGGAAGGGGGGATTATTTTGAGTGTGATTTTAATTATACAGCCCACAAAAAAACCTAGCAGAACTGACAGATAGATCAAAAGCTACATACTGAATGGCATGACTGATACCATCTAGCCACTGCTAATAACTACCAACCGAACTACAGACATGCTATAAAAGCCATGCCTCCGCAGAGCAATATTAAAACAACTTTTGGTACCCAGTGATTGAAGTCTTGCCTACGCAAGCGTTAAGACTTTATTCCACGCTTAGCTGAACCAGCAGCTCCAGTCCTACCTGGCCACATCTGCCAGACCCACTTTGCCAAGTCCTGGAGAAAACAAAACCCATCTGCCCTCCCTTCCTCGACATAGCCTCTTTAAAAAAAGACCTCTGTCATCAGTCACAAAATACGCCTGAACACCAGCGTGTACCACGTGGCCACAATTAAAACTCCGTGGCAAGTTTCACAACACACCATCATTCGGTTTTAAGAGTAACCACTGTTTGGAGACGAGCAACAGAGCTAACAGCGCCTTGCACAAGCTGCTCCCCTGCAACGAGGTGTTGCAAAGGAAAGCGGGCAACAAGTAAACCTGATTTCTGCATCTGATGGCTTGACTGAGCAAACAAAGTAGCCAGGAAAAAACATGAGAAAATTACCAAGTGAACGACGACTCCTGATCTCCGGGGCTCAGGGGCGCAACGTGAGAGAAGGCGAGCATGTGTGGGTGCATGGGGGGAACCCACACACTTTGCAACTCTTGACCGATTTCCTACCTTCTTTATCTCTGCTGCAAACACGAAGTACGGTTCTGCAGGAGCACAAATATGCTTTCACTAGTGCATGGACTACACCAGTGCATTTTACGGGCCACTGTTACAAAAACACCTTTACTCTCTACTACCTCATTCCAGCAGAAAGGAACACAAAGACGGTAAGGCACATATAAATCCATGGCTCCACTCTCCCACATTAGAAGCCATAATATTATGAAAATATACCCTAAACATCCCGATTCCGGTGGATAAATATTAAGGCTACCCAGAAAGGAAGAAAACCACAACATGGTGCAGAAACAAAGCATCAGCAGAAAGTGCATGCACAAATCCAGTGCCATTACACAAAGCCTTTGCCACATCTGGATGTTTGGCAATTAAGAAATGAATCACAAAATAATTCCCTTTGCCCATCTCCCCCTCCTTCGGTGCATTTTTGAACCCAGCGAGAGCAGACGGGGCAGGGGAGCCACAGCAATGTCCAGGTTTTTCTTCCAAAATCTAACCAAGAAGTCTTCTGCTGAGATTAACCCGTTTCAAAGCTGAAACCAGCCATTACAGCAAAAGCAGCACGTGGTAAATGAGATTTACTAGTGAAGCACCGCCAGCTGCAGAGATGGTAAGCAGCAGCAATAATCAAGTTCTTAAAAAAAAATCTACACCTCCTATGCATCTGCCCTTATTTAGGCGTACTGCTACCAAATGCACTTGCCAAAAAAAAAAAAAAAAAAAAAAAAAGGCAAGCACCAGGGTTATTACAAGCTTCAAATCAACTAATAGAAATACCCTGAAAGGATATGGAGGAGTTGGTTCCTTCAAACTGCAAGTGAAACCCACAAATTTAGAACAAGACACGTTCTCCATATTCTTGCTGGACCTCCTGGCTGCGTGGGCGGCATCGCTTCAGTGCCAATCTAGATGAGGCCAGATTTCCACCAAAATGGGCAATTGTATCCAATGCCTACAGTCCTCCCAGCCCCCTCCGAGACCATTTTCAAAGCACTTTTAGGAGCTTAAGTCCTTCTCTCTGGGATATTTCCCTGTGTAAAGTGCCTGCTCTATTTTGATCAACGCTGACCTTATGTTTGGTGGAAATTTTAATATTTATTGTAGATGGATGCCACAGCAAGGCCAGATCTTAATCCTCCATCAGTTAGGAGGATACAGTCAGCAGAGCCCGAGACAAAAGGCAGCTGAGCACCGGGGCTGGGTAAAGGTCTGACATACCGTACCAGCAAGGCAGAGTGACCACAGGGTTAATCTGGTTTACAATGGGCTGAGCAGTTGCCAACACCACCCCAGCATCACCCGATCACGCAGCTCTAATCCAGATCTCCGGCCCAGTCATGCTTTACTCTGTTCCAAGAAGGATAACGCCTTGCAAGCATTACAGTCCCTCCTCCCCACAAGGGACCTCCAGCCTGAGCCTAAACGGCACGAAATCCCCTCCACGACACCGGAGGGCAGAAAAGCTGCGTCTGGGAAGCAGATCTCCCTTATCTCACAGAGACGCTTCTCTGAGCATCGCTGGAAAAGCGGCACTGCTCTGACTCAATCACCTGCAAGATTGACAGCATTTTCATGTCATACTTTCCCACAAGGCTTTCCAGAACACGTTACTTCTCTGCCAGCCAAGTTTCAGTGAAATTTTACCATACTCTCATTTCAGAAGCTAAGAACAATTTTACTGGAGAAGAGTTCATCTTTTTTTAATAGCTTTAAAACAGGAAAGACCTCTGCAATGACTGTGTCTGCTTTATGGCATCTTCAGCATCTGTGGATGCAACAGACTATCCGGACCCCTAGAAAGTTTAGGGCTCTAAGCCAGATCTCAGCAGGCTTCAGTTTGCTCTCTGGGGATCCACGTAGCATCGGGACTTGTTTTTAGAAAGATCGAAAGCTGCTGAGAGCAGCTCCCAACTGCCAGCTCCTTTACTTCCCTCTGCAATGTTATAAAGCACCTATGCCTGCTCCGTTAAATACATCTCATTCTTTTGCTCAGACTACACAGAAATCGAGATTAAATATAAAAAACACTTTACACCCATTCAGATTCCTAAGTGGCAGGGCAGAGTAAGCAGCAGCAGACCTGCTCTTCACCTTAAAATCAGGACACATCCTACCCCAGAAAAACTCACTGGATTTAAACCAAAAATAAACCAAGAAAGCGAAACAGTAACGTATACTTCATCCTCTGACACCCTGCAGCATAGGTGGAGGAGGGGAAGATACATAATGATGGCTCAGCCACACTTTCCAAAACAGTATTGAGCGTAGTGTGGTCCTCTATATTTAGAATTAAGCCTTTTTCAGAGCCTGTTCAATTACACCCTTTGCTGCCATGTGCTGTCAGCAACATTTATGTTTTCCTCATGTAGATCAGCTTTTGGATAACAAACTGTGTAGCTTCTTTAGCTTTAATCGCTATACAAATACTTTGCAAGAATGATGATTTTCTCGACTAGCACTAGAAAGTAGCAACCACACACAAAATACAGCAGCTGAAGTCGCTGCAGTCAGCACCCACCGTCACCTGAAACCTCAGCCAGACACCATGCTCTGGGGGGAGGGAAAGCCACTTCCTTTCTTTCTAAACATTAGGGACTTTAAACATGACAATTAATAAAAGCGTTCATTGCACTTGCCCGAAACTGGTTTTGGATTAAGCCGAAGACAACGACTGAAGAGACGGCCAGATGGTTGCAGAGAGCGGTGTCGCTGCAAGCGGGCTGCGTGGCTCATCTTGAGAGCGGTCTTGCCCTTTGAGAGGCAAAGCCGGCGCGAGGAGTAAAGTCAGCAGCAGCAAAGCAGTTAAACCCTGCATCCTCCAAGGGAAACTGTTCATCATGCTGCTGCACGGGTGTGCTCTGTGCGATTGCAAGCGCTTGCACAAAATAGGCTACAGAGAATGGCACGGGACAGCTGGGACAGGAGGGTAAGCTCATGAAACAGCACAGAAAATGAATTATTTAGGAGCCCGATCCTTTTAAAAAACAATTTGCCAGGCAGACTCATTCCCCTTCTGCAGGCACCGGTGTGTGCAGGAGAGTGGCCTCAGCAGATGACGCGACGGGAGCGACAGCCACCCCTGGCCCGCGCGCGCCCAGCTGGCGTGACACTCAGCTTGACCGACAAGGACAGCGTCCCGCAAACTTAAGCAGATGGTGCTTATTGTAAATAGTGCGTGTGCGCAGAATTAGCAGCCTTACGTCTCCCCGCGCGGAGGGAACCTGCACATGCCCGGAAGGCGCCCAAGAGGGCCGGGAGGCTGGGACGGAGGAGGAAGAACAAGCGGGGAGCCGAGCCAAGCTCAGCCCGCAGGGTTATGAATACAGCGGGAGGCTGCAGAGCTTCAC